ATTTCTTTTCTAGATCACAACTAAAGGCCGCAATTAGGAAACTTCGGACTCACGTTTCAAGACAAATGTTTTCTTCAACAGTGAGTGTATATGGTTCTATAGATTAGTTTTAAATTGACAAAATACGCGAAAAGTCCTTTCAAGCTAGCTTTCGGCATCGGTAAGAATAAGTGTTTACGTTGTTCATCTGGAAAATCTTTTCAGGATGTGAAAGAGTTTAAAACCTTTATTCCAGCATCGCGAAATCGTACTTTGAAAATTCGAGGAAATTTTTTGTGGATACAATAGTTCCTGAACTGAGAAGTTCAAAAAATCTTACTTCTCTGAATCGATGTTGCCATCACCTTCGTCAAAGGACTTGAAAGCGGCAATGACGACATCGTCGTCGTCGGAGCCTGGAATTGAAAAATTATAATTGGATTACAATACTGTACTGTATTTCAATCCTTTTTAGCATTGTTTCTTAGAGGTTTGTGACATGTTTTACTCTGATGCAAGCGCCAGAAATTTGGCCCGGAAAATTGCAACAGTATTTTGTTCGATTGCTTTTGAAAGAACGGCAGGTATGTAATATTCAAGTGCGATATTTATTGTGGTTCTTATTTTAGTCTTCTAAATTCTCACAGGTTGCGTATATAAGTAATAAAGCCCTGTTTCCAACTAGAAATCAGTAGCACAAAAGCCCACGTTACTTCATTGTGACGTAAGGAATATTTAATACATGAAAAAAATATCAGCAACATTTCTCCGAAACCTTTCATAATTAATTGCAATAACCTTTGAATGTCTGTCCATCATTGTTCAGATGCTATTTTCTGCAAGGAAAGAATGAAAATTTATTCCAACTTTCGACTTGATATTTTCTTATGTATATCCGATCCTGTTGTGACGAAAATGCTTCCGCTTGCAGAACAAAAAAAAATGCATAGGATCCGTAATTTCGTACAGATTTCGTATCTTTGCATGAAACTACGGGTATTTGTCCGCATTAACTTATATTTTCCTTTGAAACGCATATAGTTGACTGCCTGATTAATCAATTAATCCGCTGACTTGATCAATTACGCCACTTTCTCAACTCCATGTGGGTAATTGATAATTCTACAAGTTTCCGCCATCATGCAGTTTATACCGCTCTTGGTTTTTAAGCAGTTTTATTTTTTCTTCACGAGGAGGGTTTCCCGCGAAAAGCAGCAGGAAAAAAAAGGGGATTTTTGATTCATCTTCTTTGAGATAATAGGGGTCTTCTCGATTCATGAATTGAAGTAATTTTAGGAAAGTAGGGAACTTGGAAATAATGTACTGTACTGTACCTCCGCTCATGCGCTCGCCGAACATGGTGAGAAGAGTGGTGAAGTTGATTGGTCCAGGTGCATCTGACAGCATTTCGTCCAGCTCCTTTTCAGAGCACATTCTGCCGACAATGTCGTGAGCGGATCGCAAGTCGCTCTTGCCGAGGATCCCGTCTTTGTCTGCATCCATGAGTTGGAAACCCTGTTCAAGAAAGGCGCGGGAAAGAAGGGGAAAACAAAATTATCAATCGGAGAAAGAGGAAACGAATGCGAGCTTTTATTTTTCAGGAAAATTAAAAATAAGAAACTTTTATTTTAAGCAGCTTGAAGAAAAAGAAAAAAATGACCTTCTTCTCGGTATCTTATAGGAAACATCAGTCGACTTTGAAACCGTCGTATTCACTTGAGTACCATCGTGTGCACCTTATTTTCTCAAATTCAAGAGGAAAAGAGGAGACGTATGATAGGCAGGTAAAAAAAAAAAGCTCAAGCATTTCTAGAAATTTAGATGTGCTGTGCATAATACTTTATCCCTATGATAAATTGTATACCAAGTTAAAAAGAAAAACTTGCAGTATTTGAATGGAAGCAATCGAAAAATTTTTAAATTCATGTTTAATTTATATCAACATTCAAATTTGCGTGGTCTTATTTTTTAAATGAATATTTTGGGTTTAGAGTCGTTCAAATGTGGTTCTCGTCTTATACTATAGAAGATACATTTTCTCAAAATGTTCAACTGAAAAAACCCAGTAAACCTCTTACTCAAATGCATATGGTACTTTTTGAGAAATTTCGGTTCAGCCTGAATTTCACGCTTCGGATTTTTTAAATTTATTTGTCGAGGGATATTTTTGAGTGCATTTGACATGGGAGCTGGATTTTGGAATTCATCAGTACCCTTTAATCTCCTTCACAGCTAGAAGCCAATAAAATACTGAATATTATACGCATTTTTATTCGTAAACGTTTGATACAATACCTGTTTAGCTCAAAGCTGCTTGCAAAGCTAAAGCTATTGTTATGGTACGTGGTCGAAAAAGCGCAAGATAATAATGAATCACTGATCCACTTTGAGCTGCGTAGATCTAAAAATCTACATCTAAAAAAAAAGGCCAAGAAAATGTGATGTGCGTTAGCCTTTGAGATCATCGAATAGCCAAAAATTCTAAAGACGGCGAGAATAATGGTCAAATGCGTGATTCATAGTTGAAGCAACGATAAAAGCATTTTTCATCCATCTTACTTATTGATGCTCAATTTATATGATTATGAGTTCAGGACGGCAACGGAAAAAATCGACTTTGTTTTTGTAGGATATACTGCTTAACCAAGTTTGGCCGAAAAATTGCAAAATTAAAATTTCTGTAATTGAAGAGCATACTTTTTCTGCATATCAACTGCTGCTAATATATAATGCATTACCAGGATCCCGAAAACGTGCAAAAATATAACCAAAGTTAACACCAAGTAGGTGAAATTTGATTTAGTTCGAAGAAGAGACTACAATTTCTGGATTTCTATTCGTGGAAATTATCTGAAGCGGCGCCCGTTTTAATTCAAGATATTTTTGGTTCTTTCTAATTTTTTTTCTCAACGAATTCTTTTCAAGGAGCAGCGGTGACAAGATGTACGCATAGGAATGAGTAAGAGGAAAGTTTCGCACTTCTTTGAACTCGGCGACTTGCTTCTGTGAGAACATGGAGAAGACATTGGAGCCAGTCCTCTTGGCCTGCTTCCTGGAGCCGCGAGTGGACGCCTTCTTGGGCTCCTCTGCTGGTGGCGGCGGTGCGGGCTCCGGCGCGGGCGCCGGCTCTGCTGCCTCCTCCTTCTTCTTGGGCTTCTTCTTCTTTTCCTTCTTGTCATCCGCCTGTTTCCAGCAACGCCAGCAACGAAGATTGGGAAGAGAAGATACGAATGCAATCAGTTAGGGATTCGAGAATCAATCTGGGTCATATATGAAAAAATATCATCTGGAATCTTTATACATAGCGCGTAAAATTATTTTTTTTCTTTCTTTTTCGAATGAAAGGAAACGTGAGCTGATGCATGTGATACTGAATAGCGATGATCGAGTCTATCGTGGAAATTCACACGCTTTTTCACGTGCAATTTTCTCTTTCGCCGTTTTTGTATGTCGCGTAAATTCTGCTTGTGTTTCTAGGCCTCTTGTGCAGCAGATATTTCGCACTGGCTTCCGGAACATTGTTCGTAAAAAACAATATTATTTTTCAGCGTACAAAGCCAAAAATATATGAAAAATGTTTGCAAGTTCATCAGAAAGATCAATTTAAACTAATAGGCCATAACAGCCTATTGTTTTGATTCTTCGATTTTTTATTTATTCTTGATTCCTTGAAATTCATAAGAAGTGGAGCCGTCAAAAACGAAGAAAAAATAAGCAAATTTTTGCGTCTCATAGAAAGTTTTCAAACTTCAATAAGCAACTTAATCTATGAGATATACGACTAAATTAATTCCGTTGTAAAATTGGTTTTGTCTTCTTCTTATTTTTAGGAATATTCACAGGTTTTGTCCTCAATTGTAGAAACGAAGCCCCATAACAGCAAAAAGATGGCACCAAAAATCCGGGTTGACTGTTTGGAATGTAATAAAACCTATTTATTTTGTTATTGATGTGCAGCTTCAGCGTTTTCTAACATACTGTACATATAAAAATATATATATTCAGCTAAAAAAAAGGATAAACCTCAATAAGGGAATGTTGGTTGAATTCTTTTTTTTTGGATTGGGATTGTACAAAAGTACTGGATATGGCTTTTTAAATTGATTACGATTCCTTTTTTCGCATGTGAGTCTTGTTGAGGATTTTCTAAAAAAAATCTGAAATGAAGGATCACGATTTGATGATCATTTGAATTGAAAATAGAGAAAATCGACTTTTTAGTGCAGAAAGCTTTCTGCCGAGAGAATAAGCACCGAAGTTCAGCCATCTGCTGGAATTATTATCCCCTTTTCAAACGTATGAACTATACGAAGTAGATGTTTTTCATGTTGAAAGAGCCTGGAATTGCAGTTCTAATATTACCCTGCGTTTCCCGTATGGTTAGCGAATGCCGGAAGCAGGAATCTTTCCTCCCTCATCTGCATACTCATGTCAGACGGGAACTTATCTTGTGACACGCGAACAACGCCGAAAAAAAAAGAAGAAATTTCTTCGAACACGACTGAAAAACGGGGAAGGAAGTGCGTAGAAAGACTTTGAGAAGACGCATTCGGCGACGAGTGATCTTCTTTCTGAAGCCTGTTCGCGGAAGAAATTTCGAAAGAAAAAAAAAGTAAAGAGGAGAGGAAGAAAAAAAAAGCCAGCTATAGCAGCCAGCCAACGACGATGAGGTCATCACAAATGTATGACCTCGTTCCAAGGTTTGCCAACTTTTTCTCCCCAGCATCGTTCTCTGGATTCTTCTTCTGCAAAACTCCCTCTCTTCCATCCGACGACCGCGGAAATAAGCAAAAGATTCCCCCTGTGTCTCACACAAGCACACGCGCAAAAAAAGAAAAAAATAAAGAAGAAGAAGAAGAAGAAGAAACGAAAAACGCGGAACTGCGATAGAAAACATGCATAAAATAAACTCTAACAACCGTGCATCCGAAGGACGACTTCACGAAAATACAAAAGAATTCCCATAAAGATCTTCAACAAAAATAAAATCTTTAAAAAAAAACCTACGAAGAACACGGAGTCGACACCTGGAACATTATTGCCGAAAAAACATTTCCTTTCATCATGAATCCACTTCAATAAGTGTATCCTCCTCAGGAACTAAATCAATGGCCAATCTTTCGAAACATTATATGAACCAAGAACTTTGCAAACGTTTATACATAAAAAACAGAAAACCGACGAGAAAGGTGAAAGAACATCATCCGATTTTTAGAAACTGAGCCAAGATTCTTTCACTTTAGCGGGCAAAAAAAAGTTTATGGGAATTCTTAAAAGAGAGCACCTCCTTGAACTCAATGCATGGCAAATGAAGCCGTTTTTAAATAAAAATAATGTCGCTTTTTCCTTCTGTTTATTGCACCTTAATTCAGGGGTAAACCAATATTGAAAAGCAAAGAACTTATGCTAGGAGAAGAGAGAATCAAAACTTGGTTAAAACGACTGAAAAAGCAGGGTTCTTTCCACCTTGTCGCAAATTTTTAGGCTAAAACACTTTAAAAATGACAACTGGGACTCAATTCAGTGCGAATAACGCACATAATTACCATTGTTGCTTCATCTTCCCTCGGAGCCGACTTTAAACAAACAAGAATAACAGCGAATCGTACCATGAAAAAAGGGAAAAGAAAGAATAACAATTGGCACATCTCGTCAAAGATTCTCTCATCGAATCGGCGCGTCAGGAAGTCCGGCAGCTTCGACTTGCCAAAAATTAACACAAAGAACAATTTAAGAAAAAACACAAACCCAACCGGAAACAAAAGAAAAATGCATTACGTGAAATCTCTCGAAGACGGAAAAAGGCGAGGGGGAAATTAAGAGAAATGACGATTTTTTTTCTTTCTTGTCTTGTATATAGCAGGAACACGACGGAGGGGTATACGAGGGGATATATAGTAAGATGGAGGACGAGAAAAAAGACGAAGATGGGTCGCCCGAGTGCCAAAAAGACAGGACCAAACGTTTAGCCAGTAAACATTCTTGCCATTTTGCCAGATACTCGCCTCCTCCCAGGCGAACCCGACTTCCCGATCCCGAATTAGAGCGGGTCTTTTCGTTTTCCAGAAGCCCGCTGACACTGTTTTTCCTTACAACGAACTCTAGACATATTATTTTATTTTATCACCCCCATGGAGTTTCGTCACGGCTCATGATTTATTCGCGAGATTCTTCCTGCTATTTTGTTTGTAAAATTTACAGGAGAACACAGCAAAAATAAGTCTTCCCGTTTTTCAAATAATGTCATAGAAAATCAGCCGAATTTCGGTTATGTGCAAAGACAAGAAGACTGCCGCGTCGATGAATTGTCGTAAATTACCCAGCTTCGATCCCGAATGAATCCCTATCGTTTTATACAATCAACTGAACCTGCTAAAATTTTATAAAACGGAACACAAAACTCAATTCCTCGTGAAAAACTACGAGGGCCATTTTTCGGAATCAAAAATGTTGATAAAACGAGTGCATGCTTGATATTTGACCTAAAGTCGTAAGTGTCATTTTGAAACACACAAAAATTCGACAGGACGATAAAAGCAGCGCAGACTTTAATTAAAATTTTTCTTTTGGAAAAATAAATTGAAGGATGAATTTAAACGGTTCTTTTGCTTTGATAAGTTGCAGACAAACGTCAAAGGCGTATGACGACTTACTTTCTAGAACTCCCGAAGAATGCATTTCATGTGTGATTCCATTCTTCGATTCAGTTAAAACTGATCTTTCATTTCTTTCCGTATCTCGTTTTACGATCAAAAAAAATTCCATTGAGATCCGCAATATTTTTTACAACTCTGTATTTTGAAGATCACAATTTTCGAGTTCGGCCGTTCAGGAAAGTCAGTTATTCAGGGAAATTTATCTGTTCCAAAAGTCGGACGGCGATGTTCGAATTGAATTTGAGCCTGGAATTAGAAAATGTACATGATATAGACTATTCGACGTTCATGATTTATACCTATTTCGTCTCGAAGCTTTTCCTCGGTTTCCAATCACTTCGAACATAATTAAAGATAACATAAGACAGAAAACCTAGCTTCATGTACATCAGATTTCATGTCTGGAATCCCAATCGTCACAAAGCTCGTTATATTTCATCTGAACTATCCTCAAATCCGAGTGACGATGATAATTTTCAGGGAGAAGCATAACCGAGAAGAATTTAAAAAATGCCTGTCTGCGTGTTCATATAGTTTTTCAACAGCGTATATACAGGAGTACAGTACGAGTAATCGCCAATGTGTGCATGCATTTGTTTCTTTTTCCATCTGGCAAAGAAGAAATTCCTCCAGCTAGCCGCTGATTATTTTTCTCTGTCCTCGTCTCTCTCACTCTCTCTTTCTTTTCAATCTCTCTGCGTGATTCACGTGTTCATTCCCTCGACAACCTTTGGCACTACGGGGGCATTCCAGGTGTGATGCAAAGCTTAGTTTACACCGAGCTATGTTGGCACCGACCCCATTTCCTGGAGGCGACTCCGACTTCGGCGCAGCAGGTTTTCTTTTCAAGGCGAACCGACGCGACGAAGAAGCGAGAGGGAGAGGGACGGACAGAAAGAGAGAGAGAGACAGACAGAAATAGAAGAAAGCGACGATGACGAAGAGAGAGAGAGCGAAGGAAAATCTGGGGATGGGGAAAATAAAAACGCGTATGGGTTTGTTGAATCGAGAGGAAGGGAAAGCTGGAGATGCGCGTTTCTTCGGGAGTAAAAGCGAGAGGATTTTTTGAACAGGCTGCCAACTTCTGCGGTGGGACCGACTTTCTTGCCTTTTTTCTTGCTCGGGGTAAAGTTTGATCGAGACTACTTCGTTTTATATTCGCATTACAATCAGTTATTACACTGTTCCGATGATAAAGACTCCCTTTTCTTGCTTTACTTCTTCGTGATCGGTATCTTCAACAACAACAAAATGTCAACCCCGAGTAGAATGCTGCCAACTTCTCCCGGACGCCTTTGATAGCTTAGAATCTGCGTGAATCGGTCAATCTTAATCGAAATCATGCTGGGTTTTCCTGGTTGATAATTAAAACAATCTTTGACTTGAAATGTGTTTCGTTACTTGGTTTTACGTCGAGTTTGACAAGTTATCGCACTTGAATAAATATTCCATGTGCAGGCAGTGGAAAAGATTCCTAGATATATTTTTCTTGTTCTCGGTGAACTGGTTGAATCTCTTGCAAGCTATTTTGCATAGAATTTTTTGATGATAAACTTAATTATATTTTGATGAAGATACCGTATCGAATACTGTACTTGCTACTTCATGTTGGCGACCTCGACCAACACGACTAAAGTTGAAGTAAAATGCTGTCGAATGAGTTTCCAAGAAAATTTTTATGTGCTTTGTACGGAGTTAACCAGGAGGGATCCCATAGAATACTGTTATTATTCTGTTGTTCTGAATAAATTTTAGTTTTCTAATCAATCTGATTTGATTCGATTTCGATTAAAAAAAATTGTTCCGGATGATGTTAAAAGTCTGTTTGCGACCAGAGTTCACGCTGAGCTTTTCAAGCTGAGTTTAAAGTTCAAATCAGAGATACATATATTGAAAGAAGCATTATCTGATATACATAATGCCTGTTTATTGCTTCAGGATTACATTCGAATGAAATGAGATCATACGGCATGACTCCGGATCAATTGAATAAATTGTTAGACAGTTACTGATGGAATTTCTTGCAGTTTAGAAAACGATAACATCAGCACGCAATAAACCGTCTCAAAATATTGTTGTGTAAGATACATGAGCTGAAAACGGCTTGAAATTTCCAAAAGCACGTAATATTTTCGCCGACGAAGTGCACTACTTGACTGCTATACAGTATTACTTCCTTACTTTCTATTAAATGAATACGACAGGAATTCACTGACAGTACTGTATATTAAATTTAACCTAGACTGTCCGTGGTACAATAAATCCGAAGAAAGGAAGGAGCGGGAGGAAAAGAGCTGCCTGAATTAAAACCATTTTCCAAACGTTACATTTTTCATTACAATATGACATTTGAGAAAAAATCATATTATTCCTCATCAGATTGTATCCAAAGTTGTATCGCACAGGGATGATTCCATAGCATTACGCAAGTTCAAAAGAAATTCGAATACGCCCATGGAAAAACTACCTGAGTCATCTATTCGAAGTAGTTGGCTTCTCTTTCGAAGGAAGATTAACTTCTGCTGGAAAAGTAAGCCTAGATGACACTCGTGGTACCGTTATATAAACCCCCTCCCCATACCGTGGTCTAAAAATAAATACCCGAACTTGAAAATAGTGGGCTTGTCTCGAAGGAATGCGGAAGTGAATGCGACTCATAATCTATCCCAGCCAAATTTCGCAAGAAAACCAGTTAGAATGAAACTGATCGATCACCGAAACGAAAGTGGAATTGAATTTGCAGAAATGTATCCTAAAAAAACCTAGATGAGGATTGGTTGGGAAATTTTTATTTTTTTATCTTCTCCTTCTGAATTGTTAACCCATGAGTCCTTACGGATTCCGGCATTCTTACTGTAATTCGAAAAGATGTCGACATGCTGGGTTTCCTCAGTGAACATCTTTCCTTCATAATAAGGCGAAAAAGGAGCAGATGCCGGAGCTGTCGTCCACTCATTGTTGACAAACATTTCAAAAAGGTAACATAAATAAAGAAAATAAAACTGGAAGCAAGGAAGCAACAGAAACTTGAGGTATCCTTCAACAACTTCCTCTTGCTCCTCGTTTCATCTTTCTTCCCTCACGTCATGAAGATCTTCTTTCTTTCTCGAAATCATAATTATTTTAAGCCATATTTACCGAAGTATCATTTGCATGAAAGATTTAAAAGTTTTCTAGCAACACAACATTTCATTTCCTTTCGAGATAATGTGAGCACGCATCGCATATTTCCACGTCTACTGTTGGTTTGTTCAACTTCTGTAAGAATTCAGCAAAGCATATGCTGCAGTTATTTTTTTATGCATTCAAGCAACAGCTTCTTCTTGAAAAACTTTCTCAAATATTGTCCACCGCTGCCCAATTGAGCGTTGACGCAATTTCACTCTAAAATGACACACTTACTCCCATAAAAATGTGACTTACAAAATCATAGTGTGTCTCATATACGGAACTAAAGGGTTATTGACTGACACAATTTTTGAATAAAAGAGTAAATCTTGGAGAAAGATGAGAAATTCTTTTTGCTATTCCGATCCCAAGTGCTTTAGCGTTATAGTCCTGATTTATGTTGAAAATGTTCAAGGACATATAGCTGGCATAAACTGAGACATGTTATAGACTCCTCAGATCCGAAAGACACAGAATTAAAAAAAATTCGGCTTTGTTTCAATTTTTACAATGCAAAAAGCGGAGGCGCGGTTTTCTTTTCTTATAACGGATTATTGTGCCAAATATCTTGAATGCACTGTGTAGTACAGTACATGGCAACCTCGATTATTTTCAGACACGTTGACTTTCTTCTCTTCCAACTGGAGCAACAAAAAAAAATAAACTTTACATTTAGTTTGCCTTTTTCTCTTGCGCCAGAAACAACAATCGGTATATTCGCATTTAAATCGCGGCTTCATATATACAGGATATACTGTACAATGACAAACGCCAAGTCGTCGACCATCATCGCAGCTGTCGAGTTCGCTCGTACTATATACGTGTGATGTGACATCGTCGACATCGTTGACGACATCGTTACTGGGGATATGCGTGTTAGAATGCTGCCAACTTCTCCCGGACGCCTTTGATAGCTTAGAATCTGCGTGAATCGGTCAATCTTAATCGAAATCATGCTGGGTTTTCCTGGTTGATAATTAAAACAATCTTTGACTTGAAATGTGATTCGTTACTTGGTTTTACGTCGAGTTTGACAAGTTATCGTACTTGAATAAATATTCCATGTGCAGGCAGTGGAAAAGATTCCTAGATATATTTTTTTCTTGTTCTCGGTGAACTCGTTGAATCTCTCGGAAGCTATTTTGCATAGCATTTTTTGATGATATACTTAATTATATTTTGATGAAGATACCGTATTGAATACTGTACTTGTTACTTCATGTTGGCGACCTCGACCAACACGACTATATTTGAAGTAAAATGCTGTTGAATGAGTTTCCAAGAAAATTTTTATGTGTTTTGTACGGAGTTAACCAGGAGGGATCCCAAAGAATACTGTATTATTCCGTTGGTCTGAATAAATTTTAGTTTTCTAGTCGATCTGATTTGATTATACTTCGATTTAAAAAAAATTGTGTTCCGGATGACGTTAAAAGTCTGTTTGCGACCAGAGTTCACGCTGAGCTTCTCAAGCTGAGTTTAAATTTCAAATCAGAGATACATATTTTTAAAGATGCATCATCTGATATACATAAGACCTGTTAATTGTTTCAGGATTACATTCGAATGAAATGAAATCATGCGGCATGGCTCCGGATCAATTGAATAAATTGTTGACAGTTACTGATGGAATTTCTAACAGTTTAGAAGACGATAACATCAGCAGGCAATGGACCGTCTCAAAATATTGTTGTGTAAGATACATGAGCTGAAAACGGCTTGAAATTTCCAAAAGCACGTAATATTTTCGCCGACGAAGTGCACTACTTGACTAATATACAGTATTACTTCCTTAATTTCTATTAAATGAATACGACAGGAATTCACTGACAGTATATTAAATTTAACCTAGACTGCCCGTGGTACAGTAAATCCGAAGAAAGGAAGGAGCGGGAGGAAAATAGCTGCCTGAATTAAAACCATTTTCCAAACGTTACATTTTTCATTACAATATGACATTTGAGAAAAAATCGTATTATTCCTCATCAGATTGTATCCAAAGTTGTATCGCACAGGGATGATTCCATAGCATTAAGCAAGTTCAAAAGAAATTAGAATACGCCCATGGAAAAACTACCTGAGTCATCTATTCGAAGTAGTTGGCTTCTCTTTCGAAGGAAGATTAACTTCTGCTGGAAAAGTAAGCCTAGATGACACTCGTGGTACCGTTATATAAACCCCCTCCCCATACCGTGGTCTAAAAATAATAAATACCCGAACTTGAAAATAATGTGCTTGTCTTGAAGGAACGCGGAAGTGAATGCGACTCATAATTTATTCCAGCCAAATTTCGCAAGAAAATCAGTTCGGTCGAAACTGATCGATCACCAAAACGAAAGGGGAATTGAATTTGCAGAAGTGTATCCTAAAAAACCTAGATGAGGATTTGTTAGGAAAATTTTCTTTCTATTTTCTCCTTCTGAATTGCTAACCCATGAGTCCTTACGGATTCCAGCATTCTTACTGTAATTCGAAAAGGTTTCCTCAGTGAACATTTTTCCTTCATAATAAGACGAAAAAGGAGCAGATGCCCGAGCTGTCGTCCGCTCATCCTTCACAAACATTTCAAAAAGGTAACATAAATAAATAAATGTTAAGAAAAGAAAACTGGAAGCAAGGAAGCAAAAGAAACTTGAGGTATCCTTCAACAACTTCCTCTGGCTCCTCGTTTCATCTTTCTTCCCTCACGTCATGAAGATTCTCTTTCTTTTTCGAAATCATAATCATATTAAGTAATATTTACCGAAGCATCATTTGCATGAAAGATTTAAAAGTTTTCTAGCAACACATCCTTTCATTTTCTTTCGAGATAATGTGAGCACGCATCACATATTTCCACGTCTACTGTTGGTTTTTTCAACTTCTGTAATAATTCAGCAAAGCATATGCTGAATTAAACTTTCTCAAATTTTGTCCACCGCTGCCCAATTGAGCGTTGACGCACTTTTACTCTAAAATGACACACTTATTCCCATAAAAATGTGACTTACAAAGTCATGTTGTGTCTCATATATGGAAATAAAGGGCATCTTTGTCATTGACCGACACAATCTTTTGAATAAAAAAAGGAAATCTTAGAGAAAGGTGAGAAATTCTTTTTGCTATTCCGATCCCAAGTGCTTTAGCGTTATATAGTCCTGATTTATGTTGAAAATGTTTAAAGACATATAGCTGGCATAAACTGAGACATGAGTAGTAAATCAGTTAACAGACTCCTCAGATCCAAAAGACATGGAATTAAAAAAAAATGCGGCTTTGTTTCAATTTTTGAAATGCTTAAAGCAGAGGCGCGGTTTTTTTTTCTTAACGGATTATTGTGCCAAATATCTTGAATGCACTGTGTAGTACAGTACATGGCAACCTCGATTATTTTCAGACACGTTGACTTTCTTCTCTTCCATCTGGAGCAACAACTAAAAATAAACTTTACATTTAGTTTGGCTATTTCTCTTGCGCCAGAAACAACATTCGGTACAGAAAACCAGTATATATTCGCATTTAAATCGCGGCTTCATATATACAGTATATACTGTACAATGACAAACGCCAAGTCGTCGACCATCATCGCAGCTGTCGAGTTCGCTCGTACTATATACGTGTGATGTGACATCGTCGACATCGTTGACGACATCGTTACTGGGGATATGCGTGTGGTGCGGGGGTGTACCAAGAGTTACTTTCTTTTCAAAATGTTTTCTCAGGACTGTATAAATGCAGCTTTACACGAGTTGATAATAAGCCGAAGCTCTTGATGGAAAAAGAAGAAGAATGCGAAAAAAAAGAGACCAGCACTCACCATTTTGCGAGTGTCGGTGATGAAAACGCGCACAAGAACGAGAGGCAAACACACCCGGGCCTGGATCACACCACTGGAGGACTAGCGATGAACGACTGATCGAATCTCGCCGGCCACTACTGCAAAAGATCGGAGGCCCTCCACTAAGGGTAGTCGTGAGCTGCTTCTCCCACACTCCCTCGCTGGCAAACGTCAGACCCCAACAAGTTTCCAGAATAGAGAGAAAGAGAATAACCGGGGTTCGAAATGCTCTCAACTCCCAATGGATGGATGGATGGATGGATGGATAGATGGAGAGCATCCTCTCTTTCTCTCTCTCTCTCTTGCAAGAATTCCTCGCACTTCCTGGCGTGCCCTGGGATCCGGGGACAGGTGCGGGCGTGAGGGTATTTTTGTTGGCCCCTGTCTCGGGGGAGACCCCGTGCGGAATTTCCTGCTCGGAGAGCATCCAGGACATTCCCGCGTGGTGGTGGCCTAACCCACACCCCCTCCTCTCTCTCTCTCTCCCTTCCCCCTTTTTTGTTGTTATTGTTTCTACGTGTTCGTGTGTGTTATGTTTGAGTTTGCGAGAGTTTCGTGTGCCAGTTCCGCGTTGTGCACCACGCATGTGCGCCCTTCGGCCACTTTGTTCGCGTCGACGACGACGACGACGACGAGGGGTGGGCCGTGTTGGGTGATATTCCCGTGGCTGCAGAGAGAGCTTCGGAACCCCCGGCTCTCGCCCGTGCGTGGGTGCTGTTGAAAACCCCGGGCCATTAATATGCAAGGCCACCCCCACTGTGAATTTTAAATGACAGATGTAGGCCGCGTGAAAGTATATGCAGTATGGATACTGCAAAAAGATTTGAAAGATTTAAAAGTTTTCTAGCGACACATCATTTCATTTCCTTTCGAGATAATGTGAGCACGCATCGCATATTTTCACGTCTTCTCTTGGTTTGTGCAATTTCTGAAAGAATTCAGCAAAGCATATGCTGCAGATATATTTTATACATTCAAGCAACAGCTTTTTCTTTGAAAACTTTCTCAAATATTGTAATATTGTAATATTATACAGTATTATAATATTATATGCAGTATAGGTTCAGCGGAAAGAACTGCGCGGCCCATGCAGGCGAAAATTTTGAATGTTTTTCAAAGAAAAGTTACGCTGAAATGCATGAATGAAAAAATATATTTCGCTGTATAATTTTTATTTTCTTGCATGCTCCCATGATCAGAAAAATTATCATGTCATTTGTGCTTTTTTATTTCAATCTTAAACTAAAAGGTGCAGTTCAGTACAGTACTGTTAAAATTTAAAATCAAAGTCAGAAATATCTGACATCTTGATCATCTCATATTTAGGCAGCATTTTTTGTTGTTGTTGTCAGAGCAGTCTAATAACGAATGACTCGACAGAAGTCAATTGCGGCATATACTTTGTAATGTCAGAGAGTTTCAACTGTGCCGTACTGTCATTAAAAAGTATGTATACATTACTACGAAGTACAGTACAGCAGGTGGTACCTCTCAATTGACCTCCCACAATTCAAACGTCCCGCAATTTGACAGTCAAATTTTTGGGTGGTTGACTTGCAATTTGACCCTTGCCCCGCAAATTCAACCTGCTTTGGCCACTTTTTTTGCATTTTTAAACTTATATTTTTAAATTTTATGGAGTGTATTACATTTCAACCAATTCTCAATTTGATCCTAGTTTGGCAAAGGATTATAGGGTCAAATTGCGAGGTACTACCTGTACACGCATTTAGTACAGTTGAAACTCTCTAATAAGTTGATTGCAAAGCAACACTCAAAAATTTTTGAATTTGGCCAAGTAGAGCAAATTATTAAAATGAAAACATTTACTTCAACTTGCTCTGCAATTCTATACTTGCTCTGAGAAGATGCATGTTTTGAGTATGCATTTACGAATTTTATTCACGTTGTAATGCAGCATATGCCTTCATAAATGTCACTTATACAATACAGTGCTTGAATTAAGAAATCATTAGCTCCGATGACTGGTGGAAAATGGTGGAAAACAATTACAGTAATGTCACGCGTAAAAGTTTTTTGCCAAACCCATATTGAGGCAGTGGCATGGAAATATGCTGATTTGAACTACTGCCAGTACAACATGGAACAATTCATCATATGAGTATTATTTTGGTTCCACAATGAAAATGGAAACTTCTCAGGTTCATTTTAAAAGATGTGAAAACATTTATATGCTGTCAGAACAGGTGTCATAAAAGTGAGACAGGAAGCAAATTTATTGCAAAAGCCAGACTCTTTTTTTTACAATGGCTGTGGAGTATATCTTTAAAAATTGTCCCTTTCATCTCCAATGAATAATGTGAGGCTTTTCCATCATTCAGCAGAGCTTAGTTTCTCTTGAGTTTTTAATTGGCATAGCAGGAAAAAGTCCATTTCTAAAAATTTAGATTAAATGAACTCCGAAAAGCTTTCATAAATCCAGCGGGGAAGCAAACTTTTGCCAATTTTAAAGAACATTCAAATTTAGAATCGTATAATTCACACAATTCTAAGTTTTTCACTGGTGAAATATTTTTACGGACACGAAAGATAATACTTTATTAAATGATTTAAAAATGATATGGCGATGAAACAATGTGGACATTTTAGACCTGAGATGAGCCCTCATTATATTGGATTCTTTAGGCCATTTTAATTTTTAAAAAGAGGAATAACAGCAGTTCCACTCAGAATAATGCAAAACTGTCTTGAACCAAAAGTTCAAAATTTCCCCGTATAAATTTTTTTTTAAAAGATGCTCTTATTACGATTATTGATGCAATCTATGATTTTCGTTTGAGAATCTGTCTTGGAATTTGTATGAGCAATTGTGGATGATATTGATTCGAACGGTTGGTCTCTTTAAATTCGGAAAGAAAATGGGGTGGGGGGGGGGGGCATTCAGGCATTCTGACACTGTGCATACCAACTGAATCTACCAGATGGTCCACCTACAGCAAAATTCAGGAGGCCATGAAGAAATTTGTTGTTGAGATACTTTTATCGCAGAGAATTTCTATGAAATGGGTCAAGAGCTCAAGACTCCCGTGGGACCTTAAAAAAATCGTTATTCAGTATTGTTCAGAGACAATCGTTGTAGACAACATTGTTGTTGTAGAATGAAAGAGTCGACCTGTAATTAGGCGGGTTATCCGACGACGAAAAAAATATCAAATGTTCAACCCTGAGTTGACTCACGTTCCAATTTCAGATTGAAAGCCAATTCAATTTGTATAGAATACAATGGGCATGGATTCGGCGAATAATGTAAGTAAAATTAAAGGTTAAGAATAAAATGGCGGTGAACCACTATATATTGAACTTTACAGTAAGACCCCCAGATGTGGACGTAATTAGTGCATCAGGAGTGTCCCTAAGTTGAATTGTCTTTAAGTTGTGTCTTGTTTTGCCATAGACTTAAACTATATAATTTTTTATCAGTGTTTCAAGAAAAAAGTATTCTTTAGAATTCCATGAAAAAATTTGTTGCCACTTGAATTTGATTCAGTGAATATATTTTCAACTCAATAAGAACATTTGGAGCATTGAATAGTGCAGGGGTGCCCAAGATACAGCCCGCGGGCCAGATCTGTCCCGCAGAGGCTTTTCATCTGGCCCGCGGAGCCGCCATGGAAAATCTCCACACAAAAATTAAGACCCTCAAAAAGTAAAAATTGCAAGTTTTTCAGGATGTCTTCAGTCTGCAATTTTGATTAGGAATTTTATTAGGGTTTCACAATAAAGTCTGCAATGATTCCCCTAATAAGAAAGAACATTTTGCATTGATTTGTGATGTTCTGTTATTCAGATTAAAGGGCAGGGTTTTGCAATTTTGGAATGCAAATCCTATCCCAGCATTTCCTGTTGTGTTTTTAATTTAATTGCATTTCTTGATAAGGGAAAGATATACAGCAGCTTATTTTTTTTAATAGCATGACCAAAAGTAGACCATCATGTAAAAATGCATGACCCCGTGCGGAATTTCCTGCTCGGAGAGCATCCAGGACATTCCCGCGTGGTGGTGGCCTAACCCACACCCCCTCCTCTCTCTCTCTCTCCCTTCCCCCTTTTTTGTTGTTATTGTTTCTACGTGTGCGTGTGTGTTATGTTTGAGTTTGCGAGAGTTTCGTGTGCCAGTTCCGCGTTGTGCACCACGCATGTGCGCCCTTCGGCCACTTTGTTCGTGTCGACGACGACGACGACGACGACGAGGGGTGGGCCGTGTTGGGTGATATTCCCGTGGCTGCAAAGAGAGCTTCGGAACCCCCGGCTCTCGCCCGTGCGTGGGTGCTGCTGAAAACCCCGGGCCATTAATATGCAAGGCCACCCCCACTGTGAATTTTAAATGACTGATGTAGGCCGCGTGAAAGTATATGCAGTATAGATACTGCAAAAAGATTTGAAAGATTTACAAGTTTTCTAGCAACACATCATTTAATTTCCTTTCGAGATAATGTGAGCACGCATCGCATATTTTCACGTCTACTCTTGGTTTGTGCAACTTCTGAAAGAATTCAGCAAAGCGTATGCTGCAATTATATTTTATACATTCAAGCAAAAGCTTATTCTTTGAAAACTTTCTCAAATATTGTAATATTGTAATATTATATTATAATATTATATGCAGTATAGGTTCAGCGGAAAGAAGTGCGCGGCCCATGCAAGCTAAAATTTTGAATCTTTTTTTCAAACAAAAAGTTACGCGTAAATGCATGAATGAAAAAATAGATTTCGCTGTATAATATTTATTTTCTTGCATATACTCCCATGATCAGAAAAATTATCATGTCATTTTTGCTTTTTTATTTCAATCTTAAACTAAAAGGTACTGTTCAGTACAGTACTGTTAAAATTTAAAATCAAAGTCAGAAATATCTGACATCTTGATCATCTCATATTTAGGCAGCTTTTTTGTTGTTGTCAGAGCAGTCTAATAAAGAATGACTCGACAGAAGTCAATTGAGGCCTATACTTTGTAATGTCAGAGAGTTTCAACTGTGCCATACTGTCATTAAAAAGTATGTATACATTACTACAAAGTACAGTACAGCAGGTGGTACCTCTCAATTTGACCTCCCACAATTCAAACGTCCCGCAATTTGACAATCAAATTTTTGGGTGGTTGACTTGCAATTTGACCCTTGCCCCGCAAATTCAACCTGCTTTGGCCACTTTTTTTGCATTTTAAAACTTATATTTTTAAATTTAATGGAACGTCTTGCATTTCAACCAATCCTCAATTTGATCCTAGTTTGGCAATGGATTATAGGGTCAAATTACGAGGTACTACCTGCATACGCATTTAGTACAGTTGAAACTCTCTAATAAGTTGATTGCAAAGCAACACTCAAAAATTTTTGAATTTGGCCAAGTAGAGCAAATTAATAAAATGAAAAAATTTCACTTCAACTTGCTCTGCAATTCCATACTTTCTCT